CGCCCGGCCGATAAAAAACATTTTTAAAGTAATAATCCATTTATATGTAAGCAAATTATAAGTTGTTTAGATTAAAAAGACAAATATGGTGTAATGAATGTGTAGGTATGTGTTAATAAGAGTTCTGAAGGAAAAATACAAAGTTAGGTGTATAACATAACTACATAACAAATGTACCTGTGTGGATAAAAATGCCTCCTGCTCTGTCCCACTCCAAAGCTCTCCACAATATTACTAGAGAACTCTCTTAAACACACACACACGACTGTGGGAGTTCCCTGCTACACCCTGAAGTTGCTCCCCAGCACCTAAGGGACGATGTTCAGACCCCTGACTGTGGGTCTCCACATTAGGTTGCTGCTGATTTCTTTACACTGCTTGCCAGGCACCCATTCCAGTTCTTCCTACATTCTGTAGCCGAACAGAACTACTTAAACTTTATCAAATTTGAGATGTTTCATGCTACTCTCTCTTTGCCTAAAATGCCTTTCCTTCTCTTTGTCCATTTATATTCCTAATCTTCCTTCAAAGTTCCTCTCAGATTGCACCACTATTATGAAGCCCTCCCTGATTACCTTGGATAGAGACAAGTAGTCTTTTGTACTTCTATCAGACACAGGAAAAACCTCTATTATAGCAAATTTCACACAATACAGTTTGTTTTTGTGTTGATCTTCCATACTATATATAATGATTTCCTTGAAGGCTGGTTATATGTTATATTTTTGTTTCCTGAAAACCCAGAACTATTCTTGGTACCTATTAAGCCGTCAAATATTTGCTAATTAAGTGGAAAACAAGCAAACTTACCTCTACTGGTCTCACCCAAGCCAAAGAACAAGGGATAGCCTGAGCTGGAAGCTTTGTGTAGCAGCACCTGCAACAGAGAATCAAATATGTAAATATTTCATATTTTAAAAACTACGTTTTGTGGAATGTCTAATCCATTTCTTGATTTTATTTATTCAGAAAATTTCAGAGTATTTTATTCATCAAATTTAAAATTAATGTCTTATACTTTAAAGCAATCGAAGAAATGAAACTATAAAATATACTAGTTTTTGAGAACCATGCAATTAACAGTTTGACCTTCCTGCTATATTAAATACACCTCTTAGCATGACCCAAAGAATCATTTTCTTAATAAGACACTGAAATTTAGTCTCACAGTCCATTCAAATTCACAGTTATGTGAAAGATGACACAGGAGATTATAATCCAGCTGCAAACTAACCAGTTGTCAAATATGCACTATGAGAAAGAGGGATGGAAAGGAGGAAAGGATGGAGGGAGGAAGGCAAAAGAAAATGAAGAGAGATCACCACGCCACAGAGCTTCAACACTGTGATTAAAATTTAATTAGTCCATTGTTCTTATTATAGTCAACTCACTTGAGGAACCTCAGAGAGGACTTCTGAACAGTTCCAATATTTCCAAAATCTGGGTAGAACACTTCAACTTCCTGTTTCCCAAGGACTCGATGGATAATGACCCGATACCACCACTTATCCTCCGAAATCCTTACACAACAGAGATGTCCCGGTTGGATAAAATATTCGGGCATGACATAGCGATCAGAAACCAGCTGATTAGAATAACAGCGCCTGTGAAGTTCCATAATACAGAGAAACCCATAGGGGAAGAAAAAATTAAAGATTGTAGTAAGAGCTGGAAAGTCTTGGCAAAATGCAAAGACAAAATCTTGCCTTTTTCAATTTGCTAATGCTTATTAATGTCAATTAATTGTTTTCTCTTTTCTCATCCAAATCCCTTCTCTTCACCAACAAACTTCTTGAAAGAAAAATTTATATCCTCGTTTTATCTCACATTGTCTGCTGAATAGAATGTAATCTGACTTCATTCCCTAGCACTCCTAAAATGGATTAGTTTTAAGACATCAATGACCCGTTAATTCCCACATCTAATGGCCTCTCCTCTCTGCCTTCAATACACTTGATCTCTGCAGCATTACCCTGTCTTCTTTCAAACTCTTTCCTATTTAGTTTCTAAGATAATTTTCTCCTA